TAATTTTATTTGTACACTTGCATTAGAACCCACCACAAAAGGTTTGGAACAATGTCCTCTGGACAGATGAGAACAAACTGGATAAGTGAGGCCAGGATTTGCTTCACTGCATTTTCAAAAGAACATAATATTTAAGCTAGCTATCAAGAACAATAGTTTGAGAGTTTTAAATTTCGGCTTGTTTCACAATCACATGCTGAGGACCCTGCAGCCACAGAGCTGAATGTGAACTCCACTGTGTACCTCATTAATCTTAAATTGAATTTGAGACCTTGTGTCTGACAGCTTAAGCTCAGCTGAAGCTTAATTAGGTGAAAGGACAATTAAAAGTCCTTCACAATCATTTATGTAAGTATGAAAAGGTCAGAGGAGTAGTATTATTTTTCCCCCTAAAATCGGTTCTATAGTTAGTAGAAAAACACGTAAAGTGACTTTTTTGTTCCTTTAAGTAACAACTGAAGCTGGTAATGAGCATAACATGTGATATTGCCATTAGAAAAAAACAAATGTCATTCATCACATATAGTTTACACTTAAACTAGTTCAATTTTTTCTCAATATGATTTAATATAATTACAAACAAATACGTTCAAGAAAGTACCGGTAGAAGAAATACACAGTTGGTAAGTATAAATGTCAAAGATATAAGGTTCTAAAGTATAACTGTTAGTTTGAAAAGAAGTAATGAGCTGAGAAACAAGTAGTAAAGGTAACTTAAAATCATTGGTAGGTTTATAAAATGTTCTGCCATTTCTTTGGTTTTACGGTACCATATGGTCTCATGAAACCAAAGATTTTAATGTTATAATCCAAGTCAAGGTTGTAATGTTAAAATTAAAATCATCACGGCTCTCCAAACACCCTAATTACCATATTTTCCGGACTATAAGCCCCTACTTTTTTCCCATGCTTTGAACCGAGCGGCTTATAAGAAGGTGCAGTTTTTCTGTGGATTTTTCCCAACTACCAGAGGAGGAAGTCAAAGTTGTACGTGAAAGAATATGGGGCTAATTTTTATTTCACAAGAACATGGTAGCAGCAGGCACGACGAAGAACAAATGTTCAGAATTCACACAATTTTCCATTTATTTGCTGCAGTGTGGCCTGCTGGGGCAACAGCATTACGGAGAGGGACAGAAAAAAACTTGACAAGATCATCAAGAGGTCCAGCTCAGTCCTGGGCTGTCCTCTGGACTCTGTACAGCAGGTGGGGGACAGGAGGGCCCTGTCCAAACTCATGTCTATGCTGGACCATGAGTACCACCCCCTGAAGGACACTCTCTCTGCTCTGGAGAGCAGCTTCAGTGAGAGACTGATACACCCTCGCTGTATAAAGGAGAGATTCCGCAGATCCTTTCTGCCCGCTGCTGTCAGACTGTACAACCAACAATGCTAGCTCCTTATCAACCATATGTCCACCGTCACTTTACCTGTTATTATTGCATATCTACTGTATACATCACCCATACCTATTTAAATCTGCAATAATTTAATACA